GGGACTACCTATCAATTTATGATTTAGCTTTCTTATTAAGCTGTGCCAATTATGGGGTGTTGCACTAAAGTCTGTTAAGATTCTCCTAGGTCAAAGTTTGTGCTGTGCCAATTGCTTTGCCAGTTTTTTTGCTTGTTTGCTGTGTGGAAAATCTGTGTTCATATACATTTCCCCTGCACACACACAACAATTACAGTTATTGGAAGATGAGATTTTGATTCCCTGGATTGGTGTGGGTGCCCTTCCCTTTGATCTTACACATTGCTTAATACATTTTAAAGGAGTAATTTAATCACTGAAAGTGGGATTTGTGTAGCTGAGGGCAAGACAGATCGATAAATGTCTTGTCATATCTTCTAAGAGCCTTGTGTTTTCTGGTTCCTTGTTTTTTTTCAGTAGAGAATTTGGCTAATATCCAAATATTAGCTAATAACCAAATATTAGGCCTTGGTAGGTGTCAGGGCCTTTGCTCTCTGGATTGAGGATTTAGTCCTCTGAGGCAGTAAAGATTAATGTGACAAGGACTGTGAGATGTCTTACTCCCTTAGKAGTAATATCTARGTAAATATGCAAAGATTGTGCCACCAGGAAGAGTCTAATTCAGATGAAAGGTTGGTACAAGTTGAAAGCAGAATTATTCTCCCTCATTAATTCCCTTTGTGAGTGTTGTCACTTCAGAATAAGTGCTCTTATCTGGAGCGAGAGTATTCACACGGGGTTAATTAAGAATAACTTTCCGAGCAGACAAGCTTAGAAGTAACTCCTGAATAAAACCAGTGTGAAGTTTCTAGGTCACGAGGCTTGAAATATGTACAAAAATATTCTGGAAGTGAATGATACCTCTTGTTCAAGTCTATGCCTCAGATGTGGCTTCTCTGAGTCACCTCAGATAAAGATCTTCCTTCCATCTGAGGAAGGGGTGCTGCTGGATTTTGAGAGACARAGAATTTGGAGAGATGGGTGTCCAGCAGAATAAATTTATCCCTTGAATGATACTTCCAGGATCCTATTTTATTGCAGAAGATGTTGCAAGATGAATTGATCCGTCAAGAGGTTTTAAAGTGGGGGAAGATTTACTACATGAGGAGCAGTAACTGGAAGTTGGAGTGTGAGGAGAACRGGAGGGAGCTGTTACAGAAGGATGTTTCCTTGACAGTAGTTCTGGTGCCAAAACTAGACAGAAAGTGCTTGTGATAGGGGGTGCTTTGAGTGTTCTGGTAAAGGTGGGGGCTTATTGGATGGAAAATTGAAAAGGCCATCCTTTGTTGTGACTAAAGTGCAGCAGAGGGATGAAACAATATGTAGAGAGCAGTTTGAAAAGTGCTCCTACTAATGAAGAGAATATTCTTTGTTTATTATTTTGTTAAACAGAGATACATCAGTTTTGACTAGGTTTTGTGGTCACAGGGTATGGGTTACATCTATGTGACTCTCGAAGGACAGCTTAGGTTACAAACAGGAATGTGGAAATGGCTGTGGCAGACTGGGGCTGAGCTGCACATCAGAGTCCCCTGCTGTAGGGTATTCAGTGTCAAATGCTTCAGAGCAGGCTCCAGGTCTTCTTCTCTTTTGCCTAGACATAAAGTTTCTTCAAAACATCA